GAAAGGACTAGAAATAGACCGCAAGAAAAGAGACTACCAACGATTACAAAACAAGTACGTATGTTGGAAGATTTAATTTGCAAAATCGTTATAAAACAGTTGAAGTTGATGAGTTTAAAGTATCTTATGTTATTGCAAAATTAAATGTCACCATTTCTAGTGTCACAAAACGACTGAGAAGCAACGAGCTAAAAGTGAAGAATTTAACATCTGAAATCATTAAAGAGTTAGAGGAAACAAATTCAAGGTATGAAGTGAAAATTTATTATAATTACTACTGATTTCCAAAACTTTACAAAGAGAAGTTTAATAATCAGTTATACATTTGTTCAATTTCTTTTCTTCTTAAACTTAATTAAAAATGAGAATTTAAAGTTGAAGAAACGATTTCTTTCCCTTGAATAAAATTCAAATGAACTACTTTCTTTTCCGACATTAGTTTGAGAGAGAGGTTGCTGGAAGTAGAACAGGATAGGGATCGGTAAGATAAAGAACTCTGACTACATTTATCTCTGCTATTCAAAATTCATGTTACAAATGGTTATCTGAATCTTTATATTTGTTTTTTATCTCTTACATAATGTAGATTGAGAGACGCACTATGGGAATTAGATCGAAATTCTGCAAAAAGGTAAGAATATTATGCTAACGTTATCACATTTATTATTGAGAAAGTGGGCAGAGCATCTATTAACATTTTTTTTGTAGTTTGTTTGTTTTATTTGTTTTTGTTTTAGAGAGGAAACAACACAAGCGCTAGTTGATAATCTACGGGAAGAATATGAAAAAGCATTGGAAAATATTTCAGAGTAGGTGATTGTAAGATTATTTTGCCGTATGAGAGGTAGTCTTAATTTTGATTAGGAACAATTTAATTTTCCAAAAGCAAAGTTTTTGTTTTGTTTATTCGGTTCGTTTGTCTTTTTATATTACTTTGCGATTATTAATTTAAATGCACTCGATTGTATTAATAAATAGAACAAAAAAAATTACATTTGTTTTTGTTCGTTTATACTTTTTTGGCTGATTGTTTGTTAAATACTAGTATTGTTTTATAATTTCACAAGTTGTTAAACTAGATGTAATATTTTGAATAAAAAATTATGTTAACAATAACTTTGCCCTTTAACGAAGTTGATAAAACTTCTTTTTAGTACCAATAAATGCCGAAATATGGCTAAAACATTGCCGACTCGGCGTTAAGCAATAATCAGTCAACTAATAAATGGTTGAATGCACAGACTATTAAAAAATGCCTCCAACAATGAGCATTTATTTTTTGGATGCTTGACTAACTATTGACGTTAATGGCCAACTTTCAACGGAACTATACTATACGACAAGAGGAATGACATAAGCTTTTCCATCATCAGCTTCCCTTATTTATGTAGTAGCATTCAGCTATCATCTGCATTTTTTTTGTTTTGTTTTCCAACGGAGCCGGTACGCAAGAACATGTACTGAGTACAATCAATTTTTAAAAATGAAGCAGGCTGACAAGTTGATGTTATAGGATTTTCAATTAACTCTTTTAAAGTCAGCAAATTTCTATGGTCATTATAATAACCTATCGTTGAGTCGTATTTTGAGTGACATGTTTCCACCAATTGTTGAGTCATTAACTTAACTTTAGATTATCACTGTTCGTTATCTTCACCTTTTACAATAAAAAAAATTTATGAGTTCACAATCCAACCACATTTATTCACTCTTCAGTACTTCTTATATCAGTTTATAGCTACTTTATACTTTAGAAATAATAATCGAAATTAGGATAAAATAGACTTTTTTTTCTATAAAGAAACTGTAAAGTCAAGGAAGTAAAGCATTAATTTTTTTTTTTTTTTTTTTTTTTTTTTTTTGGTAAATCATGTTATGAAAAACCCACGAAAGAGACTGACAAAACATAGTCTTATCAACCATGTTTTATGTTTCATGCTTTTGATTGTTGTTTGAAAAATTTATTTTAGTTTTAATTTTCGTGAATCATAATAATATGGAAGCAATTTCTCTTGCATGTATTTGCAGATTGAAAAATGAAATAGAAAGACGAACAGAAGAAGTTTGGAATCTAAGATGGAAAATGAAAGATATGGAAGAAAAATACGAATGGTAATGTACTTAATTGTTTAATGTGTGTGTTGTGAGTGTGAGTGTGTGTGTGTGAGGGTAAGGGAGGGAGGGTGCGTGTGTGTGTGTGTGTGTGTGAGAGAGAGAGAGAGAGAGAGAGAGAGGAGAGATTGTAATTTGAATGTAGAGACATGAAGCATATCAATCACTTTTCTTATTTTATCTCTATCAAAAAGTACTTTCTTTTACAGCATGAAAGAAGAAGTCAGTTGGAAAGAAAATAGTCTTAAACAGACAGAGATGGATCTTTATCAAGAGCAAAGGGGAAGTGACAGGTATATATATATAGAAAGCACAAAGAAATTCACTTTTATAAGGATACCCACTTCCGCCCCAGCCAGGGGTTGAACTCTCGACCTACGGAATCTGTCACCTAGCAGTACAGGAACAGCGCGCTAGACCGCTCGGCTATCTAGGCAAGTCAAAAAACTTGCTTTCGATGCCGATGGAATTCTCGCGGCACTGCTCTATACTACACGGTCATTGAGAATCGAAGTGAGATACAGTTATTTGGGCATTAGTTTTATTAGAGGATTGTTACCAAATTGAATACACGTTGTAATGAAATTAATTTTTATTTTTTATTTATAAAGCACATTTTACAACAACTCTTAAACTAACATAACTGCCCTAAGTGAAGAAATATTAATATAGAAAGCACAAAGAAATTCACTTTTATAAGGATACCCACTTCCGCCCCAGCCAGGGGTTGAACTCTCGACCTACGGAATCTGTCTCCTAGCAGTACAGGAACAGCGCGCTAGACCGCTCGGCTATCTAGGCAAGTCAAAAAACTTGCCTTCGATGCCGATGGAATTCTCGCGGCACTGCTCTATACTACACGGTCATTGAGAATGGAAGTCAGATACAGTTATTTGGACATTAGTTTTATTAGAGGATTGTTACCAATACACGTTGTAATGAAATTAATTTTTATTTTATATATATATATATATATATATATATATATATATATATATATATATATATATATATATATATATATATATATATATATATATATATAAACTTTAATATATAGCGCTTTCGCCCTATGCGGGCTCATCAGTAGATTTGAAATTATAAATAAGTTAATGATACTTATTCATAATTTCAAATTCACTGATGAGCCCGCCGTGGGGGAAGCGCTATAGATTAGTGTTTGAGTTTCCATTTAAAGGAACACTTCTTTATGAATAGAGCTTGGACCTATAATAGACTTCAATATTCTTATTTCACAGTTGTTATTGCATTGAAGGTTTTTCGAATGTTATGACGTTTTAGACAACTCAAGTAAAATTAACCAAACACGCCTTTGAAATCGTATTGCAATAGATCACCACAGAAATTTAAACCTAAGACACTTAGTAAAAGACCACAATTCCGTCCAAAATTTATCAACTCATTAAGTCAGTATTTGCAAGTCCGAATATGCATGTAAATGGGACAAACTCACTGACAGACAGAGGGACAAACGAACAGAGAGACGGACACACAGTGAGTACCTCCTGGTTATACCGATAGACTCAGTGACCTAATAATGAATACATATCTTAAATTAAAGTTTTGTCATGTTTTAAACAGATTTAGGATTACATGTCTTAAGAAAGACGAAGAAATTGATAACTTGCAGAGGAGGTAATGGAATAAAATATTTCAACAATTGCATACATTTGCATTTAGTTCTTTCTTTTTGAAAATGAAAATGTATATGCTCATCATATATATATATATATTTCAACAATTGCATACATTTGCATTTAGTTCTTTCTTTTTGAAAATGAAAATGTATATGCTCATTATATATATATATATATATATATATATATATATATATATATATATATATATATATATATATATATATATATATATATTGTAATTCAATACATATCAATAAATTGAATTAATTTCCGACTAATGACATAATAAATTGTACGTGGTAAACTTTAATTGAATTCATGTTGTGTTACACATTTCTGTAGCTTAAACAGGGTAGTAGCAGAAAAAGAATATTTCAAGCATGAACTAGAATTGGTGAAAAATGGTCTGGTGTTTGCAGAAGTTAAAAATAAAGAAAACGAGATTACACAGCTGCAGAGGAATATACATTTAACGTAAGATTACTGCTTTTCAAACTACTAGTATTTATAATGAATTTGAAAGTAAAACATTTTGGAGGTCATATATTGGATTAAATGTATGGTTCACCATTTGAAATGTTACTATCCGTTTATACTATCCTGTACACTCTCTCACTCAAACCATTTTAAATCTTATTGGATACCAAAATGGTAGGATAAAAATTGAATAATGGATATGAAAAAAAAATTAGAATATTTCCAATATACAATGTACATTATTTTATGTACATGATTAAAAAATATATATATCCCTCCTAAACACAACTTAAAGATATTAAAATTATACATATGATTTCTTAAACAACGTATAGAATATACTAGTATCAGTATTTGCAAGTTGTAAGTTTAAATCCTGTTATTTATGAATATAATTTTGTTTACTAAGGATAAATTTTACATGTACAATGAAAAGCGGGAGAAATTTTGGTTTGTCATTCAATCGAATTAGTTACGAATGACTTTTTTGTTTATGAAAAATGATTTATCGAAGTATCGGTAAAATTTTCATTAAAAGAAACTGAAACATAAAATACATTTATGGCGAATGATTTAAATTTTTAATATAACATCAATACACCATTTCTATGATTACAATATGATGTTTGGCTCACAGTGTCAACACAATTTTAAAGAAGTAATTCTTAAGACAAAAGTAATTAATTGTTGTTAACAATTGCATAAGTAATCAAAGATTACAGAGATTATCTCAACGAATGCTATCTTTAAATGAGGTAAGGTCCCACTTTAAACTAATAATTTCTTTAGATGCAACATTTATGCAATTTCGGTCTAATAGGGTCTAATAGGGCGTGCAGTTACTTGGGAATAATGTGGGTTAAATCCAGCATCTATAGCAACTCTGGTAGTGTGCATCTCTTGATGCATCATCCTTGCAAGTTTGGATCAGGTAGGCCTTATAGCTCTTGGTAATGGACCTGTTCTGAAAGTTTTAACCTCGTCACTCATTTGGAAAATGTACGTCAAATCCCGCATCCAAAGCAACTCTGATAGTGTACAACAATAAATGTATCTTCAATGCAAAGTTGGTAAGCAAAGGACCTATATCACTTTAAAATAAACCTGCTCCATAAACTATAACATGGTCGCTCATCCAAGAAACGTAGGTCAAATTCAGCAATTGAATCAGTTCAGTAGTGTGCATCCTTAGATGTATCATCCATGCAAGTTTGGTCAACATAGGGCAAATATTTACTTAAGAATGAACCTGCTCCAAAATCTTTAAGTTGGTCACTCATTCTGAAAATTTAGGTCAGATCGAGCTTCCGAAACAAGCCTAGTAGTGTGCATCCATGCAAGTTTGGTCAATATAGAGCTTATAGTTACTTGGAAATGAGACCTCCTCTTGCTTGAAACACTTTAACCTGCTCCAAAAACATTAACTTGGTCATTCTTAGCTAACATTGCAGACTCTGAAACTTTGACCTGTACAATGTAACTTACTAGAAGCATCGTCAATGCATCTCTGATTAATATAGGGCAGAGAAGTACTTGAAAAGAAATCTACTCTAAAAACTTGAGACACCGACGCCGACCTATTACACAAGCTCCCCCAACTTCGTTGAGATGAGCTAAATATGGCTTCTCTTTGTTCATTCATGCGTAAAGTCCGCCGAGATAATTGATAATGCAAGGTGAGGGCTCACAATGGACCCTAATTAAGAGTAAATTAAGTGTTCAGCATTAGAAATTGAAAAACGGTAGTTTAAAAAAAAGGTTTCATTTAGAGAGAATTTATGTTCCTGATCGGCGCAGAGAAATTTTACTGTTGCGCGAAAAAAAAATTAATGTGGCGCGCGTACGATGTGAAAAAGGTCAAGGATAACGCTGAGTTTTACTATTTGATGCATATATGGCAAAAAATGAAATAAAATAAAATAAAATAAAAATCAGACTAAGTGTATTTCCTCATTTTACGAAAAGTTCAGTCTGTTGTAGAATAACGTATTGAAAATATCCAGTAAACAGATATAAATATTGTAACAGCACCACAGATATCTAACGATATTTATATATATGTTTAAAGTTAAAATAATTGACGAAGAAATCTTACTTTCTCAAAAATCTTATCCTGCTGCACTGTTAGCATTATCACCTATTTTAAAACTTTAGGTTGGAAGAATATTGGAGAAAAGATGAAGAGTGCAAGGAAGTTAAAAAGGAAAACAGAAGTTTACTTGAAAAGTTGAGGCGAAAGGAACAATATTCAGATAACAACAGTTCAAGTAGAAAGTCAGAAGAGGTTATTGCAAGGTAAATCATTCGGTCATCATTTTTTGAAATATTTCTGTGTACAGTAAATTATTATATGTAATTTAATTGAATCAATATCAAATTGAAAACTATTCCGTCTTTGGGTAATGGTGAATTAAAATGATTTTTGATTTCGTGCTTAATGCACAAAGCAAGTATTGCTCTCATGAATTCAATTGATTAACGCATCGACTCTTTTTTTTTGCTATCATCAATTTAATTCATGCGCGGATCAATTCGATTAATGAGAATAAAACTTGATTTGACAAGAGCATGAATTCTATCTTCAATAATTTTGGTCAATTCATAGAAGGGAGGATATTTTTGTATCTATCGCAATATTGCCTTAGAGATGACACTGTTGACAATGCACTAAACTAAATTATCTTAAAGTCTGCAGAATCAACTACACACACTTGAGGTCGAGTATAATTTTCTGCAACAGGAAAATAGAAAACATATAAAGTAAGAAAACAGATACCCGAATTACTTTCTTATTTAGTATAATAAATGATGTTTTAATGAAAGACTGTTTGTTTAGTTTGAAATAAAGATAAAGAAGTTCTGAAACAAAGTTGTAATCTTCAACTAATTTTATGACGTGTGTACGTTGTTATTTATGTATCGATCGTCACTTTAAGACTGGGACCCTGGACAATGAAAGACAATTATCAATCAGAGCTCCCTACAGAGATGAAAAATATACTTCATCAAAATGAAGAACTGTGTAATGAAAATAAAAGACTGGAAGAAAAACTTAAAGCAATGTAAGATGATTTTCTTTTCAATCCATGCAGTAAAGCTAGAGTGAAAAACTTGTAAATAATCAATTGGCTAGTAACATATCTAATTTTTTACCATTTATACCCTAAAAATGATTCTTTATAACATTGTTTCCATTTTTAAATGAATACATGTAGCTTAAATCTAAAAGTTTGTAGATCTTATATGGGGAAGACACGTAGTCGATGATGAGTCTGAGAATGTCTTCCATATTCTTATTTTAGTCAGAATAAGATACTACAACACATAATAAAGCATTTAATATTCACTTCCACACTCTTATAATCTTTCTTAATATATTCGATCTTTTTTTGCAAGAATGATAAGAATGTCAAGTAAAGAAGGTTTTTGAATCCCAGGTTTCAAGAAAAAGCAGATCTTGCATTGTTGCATTCTACATCAGTTAAGCAAAAGGAAGAAGAAATTTTAGTAGCAAAGGAGAAACTGAGGAAAGTAGAAATTGAAATGGAATCTCTCAAATCAAGGTAAATATCATAATGTTAAAAATTTTCAAAATAATTTCGACAGTAATCACAAATGTGATATTTAAGCTGAAAGATTCTGAACAGAGATTACATGTTGTACAAATGACTCCTTTTAGAGAAAACAGGAAACCTAATGAGGAAAAAAGTTTGGAAAAGAGAAAAGTCTGCTTTGTAGAAAAAAAAAGTTGACGAATCTTTTCAAAAGTATTGATTAAAATTAAAGATTAAGATTGACTTTTAAACAAAAAAAATGTAGTTCAAAATAAATATATTTGTAATTTTTTTTTCGTTTGTATAACATTTTATTTTAACTGTTTTTAAGTCTTGAAGACGCAGATGAAAAAATGAAAGAAGTGGAAGTAATGGAAACAATCATACAACAGCTTCATAATGAAAACAAACATCTGAAGGTCGAGTTATCTACAATGAAAATGGAGAATACGCGTTTGGAACCATTGTAATTTGTTTATTTAAAATTTGATACAAGTATTGTGATAACTTCTATTGCGACAGATTACTATTTTAAAATAGCTAGGAATAGAGTTTCCTTTACTCATTTATGACGTTCATTTAATATAATGGCTTTTGAGTATTGTAAAAATTATCACATTAAGAAAAAAATTCCATAGGAAATTCTTTCCCCCACTCCTTAGCACCAGCAGTATAGCTAAAACTCTTCATGAAAATTTGAGACCATTCTTTATAGATATGACAATAACAATTCCATGTCTTATGAAAAATCTTGCCATTGATATGAATTAGAGGTGTTAAATATTATGCGATTTATATTACCAGTATCAATTAATGGAGTTTTATGAAGAGACTGACTTTTACAATCGACGACTGACTTTTACAGTTTAAAGGGACCAACTCCAAACATGAAAAAGGTGTAATAGGTGTCTATTCAATAACAAATGATTAGCGTTTGTTTTCGATAAATAAGAAAATTTAAGTTTCAGGGCTGGTAATACAATTATTGACAAATATCTGCCTAAGTTGAATTAGTCTTTTTATAGCGATCGAGCGCTCTGTGGTACATATATGTACAAAATGCGCATTAAAGTGGTAAAATTTATCGTTTGAATGGAACGTTTGGGTCTTTCTTATCGAACGTCAGTTGTTAAATAATGACACCGATTTCGTTAGAATTGAGAAATCAATATTGGTCCAAATGTTTTAAGACATCCCACTCTCCGAGACTAGCAGCGAGAGTTTTGCTGAAATAAGGATATTATGAAGTTTGGAGAAAGATCGAGTGCGAGACTCCCCGCTTCTTTCAAACTCACGTTCTGCAAGGTATATGTACGTATTTGTCATGTCTATTGACGTTATAACAAATCGTGTATCGATCGAACACGTTTTTACCTGGTGTTTATGTAAACTCCCAATCTGATTGACTTTTGTATTTATGGAATACCTGTTCTAAGGTATTCGAATGAATCATGTGAGAAATTAACGACATTCGAGGGCTGTCACTCAGTGCAGACTGTGTTTCCCCGCCGACTCTTCCCATCAATAAACTGCATTCTTCTTTCTGGAGAAATACCAGGTATAATTTAAAAACCAAAGTTCAAAAGAAAGCTTCCAAACTCCAAAATCATATTTCGGGAGGGGGGGGGCTTCTTTCAAGATCAAATTTTCTTCAAACATTGCCACATAACCCTGATTTCACTATGCTGCAACCAAAAGTTGGGGGACCTACTTTTCTCTGAACATTTTCTAAATTAAAAAAAGAGGGGGAGGGGGACAGACCCCTCTGCACCCCCCCCCCCCCGATACTACGTGCCTGCAGGATACACCGCTTTAAACAACTCTTTTTTAATGAGAAATTTCTAGGTCTGTTATCTTGTCATTCACCTTAAAGGAGTTAACAAAATTACATTTGAAAAATCATTTGAATTATTAATCAATTGATATTAATTTATTTTATTGAAATAATTAGTAAATTTTATTGAATGTAAAATGTGAAAGAATAGTGCATTACATGTGCTAGGATTGATTTATTCAGACCCCGAGAATTCTCAGAAGCTTCGGGAACTATCCTTAATAAATTCACCGTATGCCTTTTGGTTGGACCTAAGCAAATCCAAAATCGGCCTGTTCTTGCCTTCCTGTTATCTGTCTGGTCTAACTTTCGGGTGAACTCAATAAAAGCGCAATTAACACTAATCACTTATCTTCCCCAAGAGCGCATCTCCACAACTTCAGGGATCCTGAGTCCACTCGTGGCCGTGAGACCCTGATAAACTTCATTCGATACCAAGAGCGATGCGAGACAAAGAATGGCAGCAGTTTTGAGGATTAAAATCTGAAGTTGTTCGGCTTTTTTCGTTAAAGCCTCAAGTCTAAACGAAAGTTAGAGAAGTGCTGATGGAAAAGGATGTGAGCTTGTGCGACATGGCCGAAACCTTTGATCTTCTTTGACTTTCAGTTTATTAGGAACCTTCAAGTCTTCTGTGATCTTTTTATATTGTTCTTATTTTTTATCTATGAGCACATACATGCATGTATGATTAGGAAACACCCCCCCCCCCCACACACTTATTGCCTTGGAACACTCTTGGGAAACCAAGCAAGAAACGTACAGTAGAATCATTACCAAAAAGTTTCCGAAACTCTAGAGAGTTCCCAGGGTCAGTGATTCCGAATAAACAAATGCTAACATATGCATATATAATGCACTATTCGTTCAGACTTTTCAAAAATTAAATTTTAATGAATTTACAAATGTGATTTTGTTAACTAAATAATAATGAATTGCAAACATAGAAATTCATAAACACACCAATAAAATTTTCATTAATAAGAGCTGTTTTAAGCTTTACTGTCAGTGTATCATGCGTATCACGCACTCGCTGTAAAAACACGAACTCAAGTTATCCTGATACATGTATTTGTAAATTATAATGTGTTATCAGCCCTGAAGTTTAAAAGTTCTCATTGTTATTGAATACACCTATTACATGTTTTTAATGTTTGGAGTTGATCCCTTTAAATATTATTGTAAAAGTCAGTCGCCAATTGTAAAAGTCAGTCTCTTCATAAAACTCCAATAAAAGTAGTAAGACTACCAGACATTCATAATTTATTATTTTATTTTAATTAATTAAAAAAAACCCAAATTTTTATTTTGTGATTATATCGGCAAGGTTGAGAGATATTATCAAGTTGTTTTCATTCACAAACCTAGATCTAAACACGAAGAGATCACAGAAGTGCAGCTAAGAAATCTGAAGGCAGAAAATCAGACTTTCAGAGAATATATCTCTATGCTAACGAAAGAAAAGGAGAGTGCAAAGGCAAAGTAAGTGCCCTTTTTAAATTACGTTCACTGGAATTGAAACAATGTAAGGTTTTCGAAACGAATTCATTTATTTACTTTGTGTATTTTTGTGCAATGTATATTATTCCTTTACTCAATAGGCTAATTCAATATCGTTTAAAGGAGATTTAAGCATGTTTCAAAAAAGGGAAATAATTAAGAAATAGTAAATGTACTAAAGGAGGACTTAATAAAAATCTTTAAATGATTCTGATAGTAAAGGAGGACGTCAGGATAATGTTATAAAGTTATATAAACTATATCCGTATTTCGAATGCATAAAACGATTTTATAGAGTATATATTGCACTTTAAAAAATCGATATAAGGACAATATTTTTCTGATATTTAAAAATATAAAAGAATAGTATCCAAATACTTGATAGACTTAATGAAGACGAGTATAAACTGAAGACAACACAAGAAGAAATGAAGCGAAAAGAGTTTGAGATTCGAGATCTAAAAGCACGAATTCAGCAGGAAGAGGAAGAAACTAAAATTCTCAAAGGGGAATTTGCATCGGCTTCAAAGGAGCACAAATATTCAATGAAATGGTATAAAATGATTTAGAGACATTTTTTAAAATTGTTCCCTTCCAAGTGACATATCTACATGCTTTTTAGAGTTTTATTTTTGGTTTAGGTGCGAAGAGACACAAGAAGAAAATCGGCGTTTACAAGCGAATATAAATCAGCTTCGTGCTGAGAACAGAAAGCTTCAAGACGAAAATTCCAGATCAAGAAAAAAGACGCTTGGTGAAACACAACAGCAACTTCATTCGTCCTCGAGAAATGAGTTACAACAATTGGAAAGCAAGATAGCGGATCTAGTGAGTGAAAATAACCAACTACAAATGCACATTAGTCAACTCTCCAAAGAGAAAGATGACACATTGAAAAGGTACTGAGTAATTAAAACAATTATTTTTATTATAATGTTTGTGGTACTAAAACATTGCATAAGACCTAGAGGTTTTTTCTCTTCTTATTCAAGTTCATTTCTACATCTATGTATTTTATTGAATTTAGTTTTTTAAACTGAACAAAATTACTTCATCTGGCCAAAAAAAAAACCCCTTGCAAAGCAGACAATTTACTAAGGAATAAGTTTTCCTTTTATGTCAAACTTACTCTCTATTATTTGAGCACATCATACATTTATTCGATAAAGAAAACATAGCTTTTACACAGCATAAATGGAAAATAGTCTTTAAGAAAACTGCATACAAAAGGAAAGAAAACAAGGAAATGCCTATAAAAACATCGAAGATTTTAAAGGGAGAAATGCTGTTTTGATTAAAAAAAAGACATAATTAAATGAAAACAATCATATACCCAAGCATTTTAATATTTAAATTCAGAGATGCAGAAATTCAACATAAATTAATGGCAGAAAATCAGATTATGCAAGAAAAACTAGATCAACTTCGTGCTGAAAAGAGATTGCTCGAAGACGAAGCTGTAGCCTCAGCAAGCAAAAAGCTCGGTGAAACTGACCAAGAGCTTAAAGTCATGGCAACAAAAGTTCGACAGTTAGAAGAAAAGGTAACTCAACTATCAAGTGAAAATAACCACCTACATATGGATATTGCTGAAGTTTCTAAAGAGAAAGACAATGCTCTCACAAGGTAAAAATAAAACTGGCTTCATTAGTACACGTTTGTAAATATTTAAAAGAAATTATCTTTTAAATTGTTGTTTCATTTTAAGTGATAGATCCATTGTTTCATAGTTTCCCTCTTGTTATAGATGTGAACAAACACAAGAAGACAATTGGCAATTACAGGCGTATTTAGATCAGCTTTCTGCTGACAACAGAAAACTTCAAGATGAAAATGCCAGATCAAAAAATGAAATACTTGAAGAAACCCAACAACAGCTTCATTTCCTGAGAACTGAAACACAACAATTTGAAAACCGGATAGAGGAACTAAAGAGTGAAAATAGCCAACTACGCATGCACATTAATCAAGTATCTAAAGAGAAAGACGACACACACGCCACACTCAAAAGGTAATAAATACATATAATTTTATTATAATGTTTTGGAATAAGAAAGTCAAATAAGAACAGAAGAGTCTTGGTGGAGATATTTTGTTTTTAAGTTGCATTAATGCATTCATATAATCACATAGAGATGGTGTAGTTTTATTTTTATTTATGTAGAAATTTTTAATTGTGACATGGATATACCCTATCTATAAAAAAAGAATAAGCCAAAAGTGGACTTGATATGATATAGATTTAAGATTTTTATTTTCTTCAAATTTACAATCTATTTTAAATGCATATCATAGAAGTGTTTGTGATATAAAACAAAGCTAGTCAGTAAATGACATAATTATAGTCTTTATCAAACATGTAAAAATTAAAGAGAAATAAGTTTTATAAAAAAATTGAGATACGAGCAAGAAGTACAGTGTGTATAAATAAAATAATATGAATGAGTAATATACAATTATCTACATTTATCCATTCTAATTTTTCAATTTAGAAAAGCAGAAAGTGAGCAGAAAGTAAAAAAAGAAAATCAGAGTTTGAAAGAAAAGTTAGATCAACTTTGTGCGGAAAAAAGATTGCTTCAAGACGAAGCTAGAGCATCAGCAAGCAAAAAGCTCAGTGAAACTGACCAAGAGCTTAAAGTCATGGTAACAAAAGTTCGACAGTTAGAAGAAAAGGTAACTCAACTATCAAGTGAGAATAACCAACTACATATGGATATTGCTGAAGTTTCTAAAGAGAAAGACAATGCTTTCTCAAGGTAAAATGTTTTTTCTTATTTCCAAACGTCATTGTTATCTGTAAATGAATCCACATTTAATGCTTCTTATAATCTTCTTTTTCAATATATCCAAAATAAAACTGGCTTCATTACTACACGTTTTTAAATATTTAAAGGAAGTTATCTTCCATCGTTTCATAGTTTCCTTCTCATTATAGATGTGAACAAACACAAGAAGAAAGTCGGCAATTACAGGAGTATTTAGATCAACTTTCTTCTGACAACAGAAAGCTTCAAGATGAAAATGTCAGATCAAAAAATAAGATACTTGATGAAACCCAACAACAGCTTCATTTCCTGAGAACCGAAACACAACAATTAGAAAACAGGATAGCGGAACTAACAAGTGAAAATAGCCAACTACGCATGCGCATTAATAAAATATCTAAAGAGAAAGATGACACATACACCACACTCAAAAGGTAATAAATGCATACATGTTCATTATATTGTCTTGGAATAAGAAAGTCACAAAAGAACAAGAGTGTTTTGGAGGAGATATTTTGTTTGTAGGTTGCATCAATGCATTCATCTTATCACATAGAGATGATATATTTTTATTTTTATTCATGTAGAAGTTTTCTAATTCTGACATGTATATAACTTTATCTATAAAAAAAATTAAATTGGTAAAAAAAATGGACTAGATATGATTTAAGATTTTTTACGTCATTTTTACAATCTATTTATATGCATGTCATAGAAGTATTTGTTATATAAAACAAAGCTATAGTAGTTAGTAAAAGACATACAGTCTTTATCAGACATGTATGCAGAGAAAAAGAATTGACTATTTATCAAAAAATTGAGATACGAGCAAGAAATACTGTTTTGATAAATAAAATAATAGAAATGAGTTAAAAACAATCATCTACATTTACCCATTCCATTTTTTCAATTTAGAAAAGCAGAAGTTGAGCAGAAAGTAATGGAAGAAAATCAGAGTTTGAAAGAAAAGTTAGATCAACTTTGTGCGGAAAAAAGATTGCTTCAAGACGAAGCATCAGGAAGCAAAAAGCTCAGTGAAACAGACCAACAGCTTAAAGTCATGGCAACAAAGGTTCGACAGTTAGAAGAAAAAGTAACTCAACTATCAAGTGAGAATAACCAACTACATATGGATATTGCTGAAGTGTCCAAAGAAAAAGACAATGCACTTACTAGGTAAAATGTTTTTCCTTCTTTCCGAAATGCACTGTTTTCACATCAAATCTTTCATAATATTATCTTTTTTATTACATTCAAAATAAAAGTGGCTTAAGATATATGCGATATCATAGAGGCATCTTTGCTATTTTCATTATATATTCAATTTGAATAATGCTTTTAAAAGAGATTAAAAGATAATAAGAACAAACAAATTATGAACAAAGCAAAATATATGCACCGATTCCTTTGATTAACATACAGTGTTAATTATAAGAGTCATCGCCCCTTGAAAAAATCTTTAAAAAGAAAATTATTTTCAATAAACTTTGCTTGCTGACCTATGCTTTTAAAACACTTTAAAGTATAAGCTATATTCTTATGCATCTTTTTACCCGATGCTTTTTCTCAAAATATCAATATGTTTAAAAAAATATATAAGTGATAATTTGCCCATAGGCCTCTGTGCTTAATTGATAAAGTCTTATTTATCTATTTTTACTTTCACCTTGATCTATGGAACAGTTACACATTTTCATTCGTTTGACTTTGTGTTAAGATTGTTTTTGCTATTTATGCATGTACATTAAGCATATACTGTAATTGAGGATTAAAAGAAAATAACTCTTGGTAATAACACACTTGAAAAAGAAAATTATAACATGTTGAAGTTATTTTTTTTATTAGAGGAATAATTCACTTTAATCAGAACGAAATATATTGGGAAAAATAACCTACATGTTGGACTTTATTCCACTGCAGATTAAGTAAAGTCGCGGGCGCCAAGCTAACTCATGGCAATGCAGCAATAACCGACCTTAGTGACACCAATCGTCCAACAAAAATAGCAGAAAAATTCTCCGAGTTGTACGACAACCAGTGGACGGATGCTTTTGAAGAACTTGACAATACTTACAACAACGAAGAGGAAACTATACAAGTTCTTCTGCAAATTTTGCAGGTCTAAATTAAAGATTCAATAAATAGCATTTATACTCCTACTGTTGATAAAAGTGTATTTTTATAAATGTAAGCTAAACTTATCATCCTAGCAGTTTATGACCAATTTTATTTTTTAATCAAACCAGGACGCATATACCTACTGTGTCCGAATAGAGAATAATTATGAAACAAGAATCGGACAAGCAATCTTTACACTAACAGATGAAAATTCAAAAGAGGTTTGATAATTTAATCCTTAATGTCACATTTAAAAGTATTTGAATTATTTTTCTGAATTTGAACTTTTAAGATAGATATTTCCAATATATTATTAGACTCGCCAGATCACTAGCGCAGATGTTCCTGTGCAGAAAGCCCTCACAGATTTAAGGCTGTCGTTGGGCAATTCCTCTTGTTTGCTTATAGAAGAGGTAATGACAGTAAATAATAAAGAATGGAATTTAATGTCAAAATATTATGATAAAGGATACAAAGTAATAAAATATTTCAATTTTCAGATGTTTCTTGCGAGACTTCCAACGATTTTGAGCAAAGTCGATATTACTGTGTCCCCGAAAACAAAGTTGTACGCCCGTCAGTGTGCAAGTTTGTGTTGGAGAATGAGAATCCGTGATCCACCCGTGTTCGTCCGCTTTGATTTCAGAAGAGGGACGACATTTAACACAGATATACTCCGTAGATATACCAAAACGGGAGGATATCTTGATTTCATTGTCTGGCCAGCCTTGTACTTACACGAAAATGGACCTGTATTGTCTAAAGGTGTAGCACAGCCAAAACATTCGCCATGAGAAATTAAAATCTTATATAACAATCTGCATTGTTTAAAGCCTGTGAATTTAAGACTCGACATTTATTTGGAATTGTATATATTTTTAAGGATGTTTTGTTCCTATTTATTAGATTATCATTCTATACTTTTATTTTGTGTCCGTCTTTTAAAGATATTTGTGGAATTTTGTTGAAATTAGGACGTGATATCAGAAAGAATAACAAGTAATGACGAACACACGTTAATCAGTCTTAAACTTTGTCTAAATGTCTACGAATAGCAAACTTTTGTGTACTAAGTCTATGGATATCTCGAAGATATGCAACCATCTTCACAACACTTTCGGCAAATCAAATTTCTGGTTTAATGCTACTGGGAATTTTGTTTTATTTTTATTTCAAAATCTTATTAAAATGCATTGAAGATGAGTTAAAACATATAACTGAGAGTAACTCAAGTATACCAAAGTGTCTTTAGAAGATATGAAGGGAATATAGCAATATCTGTAGACTTGGGACACAAAAGCTTGCTATTGGTCGATATTTAGACAAAGTTTAAGACTGATAGACGTGTGTTCGTCATTACTTCTTATTCTTTCTGATATCACCTCCCAGATTGAACAAAAGCTTCCATAAATATCTTTTGATAAAGGAAATTTAATTCGTACGATAGAAAGGATATGCCCCTCACCCCTTTTATCAAAGATAATTGATTAAGACAATGAAGATCTTAAGTGTTGCGAAGATTATTAAAGAACAAGAGAGTTGCAATCATACAAACTGATATGCAAGTTCCAATATATGCAGTAGATACAGTCTAGTACAAGTCATTGTATCATGGGCAAGGGTTGATCAGATTAAATCGAAAGTTTTACATGGGTATAAATGGATATAGAAGAATCTTTTGAAATACATTAAAAGGAATAAAAGATTCTATTTGACAAATATCCATGCTTGGTTATGTTATAAGGTCAGGGTTGTTTGTTTGAATAACACTCACACACACATTACGTAGCTTAAGTGAGGGGTATGGCAGTGAGCCTTTTGTCATTATGAAATAGGTGAAGATAACGAACAGTGATCGATCTTAAAAAAAAGAAGTACAAACAATACAGATCTGTAAACGGGGCATAAAACACGGACCCCTAGGGGAGTAAGCATTCCCTGTCAACCGGTCACACCCGCCTTGAGCAATTACACAAAGAGATTTATTTTGTCATTTTTTTACTGTGTTTTACTGTATAATCTATTCTTAGAGGAATACCTGTTACAATTTAAAGATTATAAAAATGTCCATGTATTTCCCTTACATAGATATAATGATTAATTCTCTGAAATTGTACTGACTCTTGATGTTTTTCCCACAGTAGGTAAAAAAATATTTAGACAAATAATCCATGTAAATTAATATTGAGGAAAAAAAAGTATTTTACATTGTACTTTGTTTATTTTATCAGTGTATCAGTGTGTAGTAGCTTTCCAATTGGAATACAATTATGTGTAAGAAAATATAGTTTTTGCATTATATCACAAAGATGTTAACACCCTTTTTTAAAGGATTAGGTGTTCTGTTGTAATTTGAACAAAATTATCATCTTTAAAAGATCACTGATTAATCCCAAAGCATCCTTGAAACTGGAATCAATTTTAATCATTAAAATATAACCTCTTTTAGAACAAGCATGATCAAGCAGGTCATCTAAAAAAATTACTTTGTTAAACATCATTCTGATTCTACATACAAGTACTCTGAAGTTGATATTAAAAAGATGCTGGAGTTCCTCATTGAAGAGAGTAGGTCTTTCAACAATCTGATGGAATTCCGATGGGTACTAATTGTGCTTGTGCCAGTTTAATAGCCGACCTATTTTAAATGCCTAGGAAGCAAAATTTATTCAGAAGCTTCTACATGAGAAGGAAACTCTTGCTGTGGCCTTCAACTCGACTTTTAAATATATATGGACGACCATTTATCAATTAACAATAGTTACTTTCATTCATATGTTGACTCAAGATATCCCAGTGAATTTCGAAATTAACGATGCTACAGAGTCTGTCACAACCTGTTTCATATTTGGATTTTATTAACTATGGACGATAATGACCATCTAATAACTAAACTGTTTGACAAACGGGGTCACTTTTCCATCGTCAACCTCCCTTATTTATGTAGTGTACTCCAAATTACCTTCATATGGAGTTTATTTCTCCAAACTGATTCGAAACGCAAGAACATGCTCTGAGGACGATCATTATTGACAAATAAGTTGATGTTACAAGGATTTCAACACCCTCGTTTTAAGTCACTTTTTGCAATTCAATCAATAACGGCAAAACATCAACAGATTAAGAATTTTTACAAAGTGCATATGTCAGTATTGTTTTTGAAGAGTGGTGGTACCATAATGTTTTATTTGTCGGTTAATTAAGGTAGATTTGACAAAAGTAATTACAACTATCTTACAAATCAAGAAACAATATAAGGTTAACAAGTGCATATTTAACACATAAATATATGCAAATGAATGAGAAAGACCGTAAACGTCAATCTTTCAAATTTAACAGATTTGTCGTTGAAAGTCTTTAGTTTTCGATACCAGTGCGTTTTAGTGAGTTAATTCTGTTTTCTTTTTCAGGTATGTTAAAGTCAAAATGATTATCAATTATTTACATAGAGGTATCTTTCAATTCTGATATCCTGCTTGTCCGAGGCTTTAAGGAGCTTTTCAATTTCTTTGTTTTGTTTACATTCTTCGTAAAGAAGTCTTTGACTACTAGTACTTTAAAAACTGCTGATCATTATTTAGAAGGACGTAGTTTGATGAGAACTTGTTAGATAAGGAATTTCAAGTTTACTGAAACTAAATTATGTTATATATCCTACAAAAAAGTCTGAAGTAGTGTAAGAAAAGTATGTTTCGTGTACACCAAATGTTACTACGATGTTATGAGAATTTAAATAATGAATAATAATTACAATCTAAGTATATTCTAAACATAGTGGTCTATTTATCTCGTTCTGTAAATAACTCGTAAATAGTCTGACGATGTAACTTTAAATTTCGTAGTTGATTGATTTTTAGGTCAAACCAAATATTGATTATTGATCTTGATATAAGGTTTCGTGATATGTATCAAACCTAAAAAGATTAGGCTGTTATCCAAACAATGATATCCACTTAAGGTAAGAAGATTGCTAAAACAATTACTAAGTATGAAAAAACATATTGTTTATTTCATATAGAAATCTTCTCAGGAAGAAATCACTTTAATTGTTGTGAAAAAGAAATGAATTGAAACATTTTAGATATACATATTTGATCAGTGTTTAAAGAAATATTAAGTGTATTTTTTTAAATCTTAAAATTCATTTTTGGGTACAATTATAACGCATTTGTTATTCACATTCTTAAGCTTTCCACTGATAGATGACCGGTTTTGTCCAAGTCTATAATTGATAAGTTTTCTTGTACCGATATTTCTTGTGAAGTTTGCTATGTGTGTGCAGTATGTTTATAATTTTACCATTGATATTAAGGCTTCAATACCAAGGCCAACATTCAGCTTCGATTGATTTTATTATTGATCATTCATAACTTGCAAAATGAAACTGCAGTGCAATATTTTCTAATTTTTCAGAGCAGGGAAAATCTACGGATAAAATGAGACGTTCTCCTATCTGGGAACGAGGGGAAAGACGTACCTCCTCCGCCCAAAGTAAGAAAAAATATCTTACTGTGTGATTATGGTGAACTATAATTACGGTTATGTTGGCTTTTCACTTTGAGTTATTGGTCCAACTTGAACTTTTCTACCACAGTGTCATAATAACAATCATAGCTAAATCATTGCTATGATTTCTTGTATTTGGTATAGTGTAATAAAGAAAAGAAACAATTGAAATAATGTTTGGTAAAACATCCACTAAAGTTTTTCTCTAGAAATCTTAGAAACATTCAGATAAATGTTAAGTGTATTAACTATGTATATGTTTTGTTGTAGCAGGATTCATATTTTGACGCTTTGAGTGGAATCCTTTTTGATCTTTGTTTTTAATAATTTGTAGTAATCAATTCACATCCATCCTTATCTATGTCAAATAAACATGGAAAATTCTGTTTTTTCTACATACTAAATTCAAATAATACTGGTACAACTTACCAGTTTATAGATCCTATTTTAACTCCAAACTAATAATTAAGGTATTTACCCTGACAAATGAAATTCTTTTGC